ATGTGGTGCTGGGGGATTGAACCGTGGTCCCTGATGCTTTTGCTAAGCTTGTTCTAAGTAGGTGCTTTAGACCACTGAGCCATCTCTCCAGCCCTCCAGAAGTATTTCTTAATGTTACCCTTGAGTTAAGTAATTCAGTCTCATATTATTTCTTTTCTGAAAGGAGCAAAAATAATTTTTCTACTTCTAGGAAGCTAGGAAGCTAAGTATACCAAAATATTCTGATCTCTATGAATCATAACTTTATTAAAAGTTTTCTACAGTGCTTTTACTAAAATGTATAAGAAAAATCTTACACTAAGATTTTCCTAATATTGTGTTTAGACACTCTTAAATGAAGATTAAAATTAATTTTCACCATGTTAAGCTATTTTTAATTAAGAAAATGTTTTAATGTTGGAGACAAAAGCAGGGGGAAAATAAACAACAAAAAACACATCATACTATTGGGAGCTTGGCCAGACCTCTGATCTTCTAAAATGAGAATATGGCAAAGGCTTAAAGAAAAGAATGGGATATGATTTTTGGGTTCCAGGAGCTAAGACAAAACCTTCTCTGGATTGTCCATATTTTATTGGGTTCCAACCAAATTCATGGGGAGAGGGAATGAGAGGAAAAGTGAAGGGAATAGCTGAGGTGAAGGCAAGAAACTGGGCAAGGCCTTGTGAAACAGAAGATCAAGGACATTCTAAGCAGTAAATCTTAGTGATTGAGAGAACTGTCTTTATCTCTTAGACCGCAGCTGTTGCTCTCCTTGGCTGCCTCAGCTGTGATGCTATCTTGTCTTCAGAACACTGTGGTCAGCGTCTTAACCCTAGTTCCCAGCATCACGCAGTAATGTACCATACATTTTAAAAATAAGTTTGACTGTTTCAACTCTGTAGTTATGTTCACAATGAGGACAGAAGAAACCGAAAGACTTTGATTTCTGAACACCAAAAAAGCAGATCTCTATAAAGCTTTTAACTAATACATTGATTCACTTAAATTGACAATTTTATTTATTTTTAAAGAGGGTACAAATTAGAATTAAAACAAAAAATTACAAGTGATACAGATTAAAATGACAATTTGAAATCTAATTTCTTTATTGTGTAACAGCACAATACAGAATAAAAAGTGAAACTTACCATTGTATTTAAGAGAAGGGGGAAAAAAATCTTGTGGTAATTAACATGAGTCCAGTGCAAGTGTAATATATTCAATACTAATGTAATTACTTATGCTATATTTAATGGTAGGTTCTACCCTTACATAAGTTAATCTAAAATTATTCAGCATTGTAGTTTATCCCTATAGTAGTTTCTTCATTAACGAGTATTTTGTACATGCTTCATTTTTTAAATTCAGTATGTATTCTTTTTCCCCCTTTTAAAATTTAGCAGGTATATATTTTGCCTCAAAGTCTGTGTAACAAATATGTTGTCATTGTCATTTAATCTCAGAACTGGTGACAAGAAGAATGTAGCCTGGAAGATTCTTCCAAAGAAGCCATGTAAAAATCTGATGAACACACTGAATAATTTGCACCAGCAACTTGCTAAATGTAAGTGAGTAGGTAAGAGGGAAGAATTTGATATGAGAAAGGGACATACGTTATGTACAAAAGAATTTACCTGAATGAAAGCATTTTATATTCTTTAAAAATGAACATTAAAGGAAAATTTGTTAGAAGCTGCATGGGAGATTGCAAAATATATTTTACCTCGTACAGATTTTCATAGAACCATCTTGGAATAATAAAATTCAAAAGCATATCAAAGTGGTTGTTTTGCTTAATTCTACCACTATTGAAGTAACATGAAAAAAAGAAGGGTTTCATTTGTATATTTTCATCATACATGCTACACAAAGTTAGTTTTGAAAGTCTGAGTCAAATGATTTGAACTATGTTAGAGAAGGGTGATGATTTCAGCGGGGTGAGAGCCGCTTAGGTTTTTTATCTGTTACTTCAAATAGTTTGAAGATAAGCTTGTCAAAAGCATGAATGAAACTAATTAAAATGAAAATTGATGAGGATGTAAACTATTCAGGAAAAATTATATAAGGGTATATTTTGATGTAATCTAGAATTACTAATAAAAACAAACTTTGATTTCTTTATTTGATTCTCTTGGTAGAACAGCTGTGACCCATTCAGAATCTATAATCTAATTTTGTTTTTTCCCCAAGAACCTCTTGCTCAGCTACATCCCAGCCTTTCTTGATTTTGAAAATTTTGAGATAGGGTATCACTTACTTACCAGGTTACCCATACTGGGTTCAACTTTAAATCCATTTGCTTCAGCCTCCAAGAGTGCTTGGATTACAGGTGTGTACTGCTATGTCCAGCTGATCTAATCTAATGCAATATTTATTTTTGTGAAGCATGGTCAATAGTGTTGTAGCAATCTGTAAGGTTCTCATTTGTTACTGAAACGTAAGCATAGGAAGTAGCATACAGCTTTAAGGGTTCAACTTACTTATAGTATACTTAGAAATGGAATGGAAAAAGATAATGTTTACAAAGTAAATTTGCTAACAAGTAGGTAGTTCCACAGTAGCTCAAAAATGTTGGGATATTTTTACTTGTGCATACCTGTAGTCCCAGCTAACCTGGGAGGCGAAGGTAAGAGGATTGCATCTTAGAGGCCAACCTGGGAAACTTAGTAAGGTTCTATCTCAGAAGTTTTGAAAGGGCTGGAGATGTAGCTCAGTGGCCAAGCACTTACCTAGCAGGTACAAGGCCCTGGGTACAATGCCCAGTGGGGGTTTTTTGGTGGTTTGTTTTTTTTTTTAAATTACTGAGATATGAAAAATAAATGACACCAGTATAACAAAATTTATTTCATGGAACAGATTGTATACATTTAGATTTAGTAAGCTAACCGCTTTCTACAAGTACTTGTACTTTTGAAAAACTGACAAGTCCAATAGCTCTTGTAGCCACGTTTAAGTATTATTAAAACAAAAGAAATAGCCCATTCAGCTGTAGCAAAGGGCAGAATCTTAAAGCTTAGAACTGTAGACACTTAAATAATACAGTGCTGTTATTTGAGTGTTGAATGTCAGAGCACTTCCACATACGTTCTTCTTTTATAGTTAAAAGTATGAAAATGAATGCTGAGGGAAAGGGACTACTAGCCTGTCACAGAGCACAGTTAGTGAGGATGATGCTGGAATTGAAACCCAGGCGTTCTGGTTCCAAAGCCCCTATTCTTTGTAGTCTCTCTTAAACAGTAAAAACTGTCAAACTCTCCCAAGATGATTAATTATTCCTTGTATTTAAAAAAAAAATTCTTAAATTTTGGAACAATGCCAAAACTTTTTTTTTCCTGATCCTCTGAGAGTAGATGCCCTGTCACTTCTGAATAGTTTGTATTTCAGGTTTCCTCAGTATCCTTTCTTTGAAAGCAATTCTTGAATTTTCCTTCATCTTTTGATTTATTTATTTTATTTTATTTTATTTTTTTTGTAATACTAGAATGCTGGGGCTTAAACTCAGAGTCTTTGCATTGAGCTACATCTTGAACCTTTACTACCTTTTAATTTTGAGACAGGGTCTTGCTTGGTTGCCCAGTATAAGCTTAAACTTGTGATCTTATCTGAAGGTTCTGCAGTTCTGAGATTTTAGGCATGTGCTCCCAGACTTGCCTATCTCTTTTTTCTTTTTCTTTCTTTTTTTTTTTTTTTTTTTTTTTGCAGAACTGGGGATTGAACTCAGACCCTTGCGCTTGCCAGGGAAGCGCTTATTCCACTGAGCCATCTCCCCAACTCCAAACAACTAAATCTTTTTTTTTTGTGGAACCGGGGATTGAACTCAGGCCCTTACTCTTGCCATGGATGTGCTTATTCCACTGAGCCATCTCCCCGGCCCCTTGGCTATTTCTTGATACTTGTGAAAGACACTTCTGTTATAGAATGATCCATGATGTAAGTTTGAATGTCCTCATGATAGTTGCAGGTGATGTATCTTTGGCAGGAATGGATGCGGAAGGGATCATGTATTCCTCTCATTGCTTTCTTACCAGGTGGCCCTTTTCAATTTATCTCAATATTGATGAAGATACCCCTTTGATTACTTCATTAAAGTGCTATCTTACCAGGTTTCTGTCCTGTAAAGTTATTCTTTTGTTACCTATTGGCTTTAGCATTGAGCTGTCCAGGAAGAAGGGAAGTAGTTTTTGTGTTTTAATCTCTATGTATGTTTATCCTGAAGCCATTTATATTTTACTAAAAATAGTGACAGGAGGGAGTTGCATTAACTCTGTGACCAGTTTATATGCTCATTAACTTTTTATTCTGATAATAAACAAGAATACATTTTATGTTTAACTACATATAAAGTATTCAATAGAGCGTAGAAAACATTATAGCATACTTTCATAAGGCTTACATACTATGAAGCTGTGTAAATAGTTGAGGTCATATGAGCCCTTTTGAAGCCACAACAAATTTACATTGATATTATTAGAGTATTAGTTTTAACAGTTTGGAGTGAACACTAATACTGTATTTCTTCACAGTGCAACAGAGACCAAGAGATGATGGACTAATGGATTTAACAATGAATGACTATGATTTTAATTCCGGAAAGAGGTTGCACATGATAGATTTGGAAATCCAAGAGGCATTTTTGTTTTTCATGGCTTCTATTCTGAAAGGGTATAGATCATACTTAAGGCCAATAACACAAGCCCCTTCTGAGACAGCAACAGATGCAACCTCTCTTTTTGCCCTCCAAGGTGAGTGATTGCATAGTTTTATAGCTTTTGTCTTACTGAGCTTCACCTTGTGATGATTTATTTGCTCTCTGGGTTGATAGTCCATATTTTTCAAAATACATAACTGTTTGAAGGATGTGTGAATAGCAGCTCTGTTGATCCGTTTCCATAGGACTGATCTTTCTATGGCACATTAAATATAATTCTGTTAGCAAGATACACAAAATAAATTATTTGAGAAGTACAGAGCCCCATAGTCATATGCATGGTTTTTCACTTTGTCACGTGTTGAAATACCAGTGTAGCAGTGCCTTGATTCATGAATGTGTTTGTCAACAGTTTAGTTCACAAACAGAAGTGTTTGGCAAAATTTTGTTTTTGTTGGAAAACTTTGCTTTGGAGGACAAACATGACCACAGCCATTTTTCCTATATGAACAGAAAAATGGGCATCTTCTCCAGAATCATAGAATTAAGTTTGTGAATTAAGGCACCACTCATCATTCTCATCTTTCAGGGCAGGCAGGCAGAGGAACCCCTGGATGTTTACCACAAGGTTTGGGCAGCCTTACTTGTTTTATTGTACTGTGCTTTATAAATGTTGCTGTCACTGCCACATAATGAAAAAGAAAAAAATAGGTTGAGAAGATCCGAAGTATAACTGCTATCTTAATACATATTTACTTTCTTCTGTAGTATTTAATATTTGAAAGAAAATTTAGTAGTACATGTTGATGCTTCTAAATGCTCGGCACTTAGCATGCAGAAGAGATGGAGCTTACGGTCAAAAGGATGAATGATTACAAAATATGAGTGAACAATTTTAGTTTACAACTTTAAATTATGAAGGCATTTTTGAAGAAAAAATGTCTAAGCCATGATAGCAAAGATGAATAGAAAAATTAGCAAAAAGGGAAAGTGAGAGTTTCAGGCAGAGAAGTTCTTTCAAAGCCCTTGAAGCTGGAAAGAGCTTGAGTTCATAGACCTAAAAGAAGACCAAGAACAGTGTAGCTGAGCATAATTAGTAAAGTGAAGTCAGAAAGGAAACTTTCACTGTGATTTGAAGAAGTAAGGTAGTCAGGTGTGGTGGTGCAGACTCGTAATCCCAGCTAGTTGGGTAGCGGAGGCAGAAGAATTGTAAGTTCAAGGCAAGCCAGGGCTATCTAGTGAGACCTTGTCTCAAAACAACAAAACAAGAAAGAAGGTAAAATAAATGATAATCAGAAGGAACATCCTTTAAAAAGACATCTATGTTGTGTATAAGGGGAGTGTGAGCACATGAGGATATGCATGTGCATATAACATGCAGAGTTTGGTCAAAAATAGCAATAAATGTTTCAAAATTTATTAATTTATGTGTAACCTTCAGGGCAATGAGGAGAGCCAGGCATGATGGTGCACACTTGTAATCCTACCACCCAGGAAGCTGAGGCAGGAGGATCATTGCAAATTCAAGACCAGCATGGGCTACAGAGTGAGCACAAGGCCAGCCTAAACTGCATAGTGAGGCCCTGTCTCAAAAGGACAAAAAATAAAATAAAATAAAATGAGGAAACAAGATAATTCTGATTGAAAATTTGAGATATCTAGGTTTATATTCCTTTCCTATTGCTTTTGTATTTGTCAGATCATTTTCCTACTCAGGAGTCTTAGCTTCTTTTCCTGAGAAATGCTTAGGAATATGGGCAGATAGGGGTGACGTGTTGATCATGGTGATGTCAAAAATTCTATGAATCAATAAATAATACATGTTCTCATAGTATGTATTCATGTTCAACAGCTTTCTTAAGAAGCCGAGACCGATCACATCAAAAGTTTTATAACATGATGACCAAAACACAAATGTTTATTCGCTTCATTGAAGAATGTTCTTTTGTAAGTGATAAAGATGCAAGCCTGGCATTTTTTGATGATTGTGTAGATAAAGTAAGTAACAACATGTCTGTGGTGCTCTAACTGCTATAAATGTTATGAGTTAGTTTCTATTTATAGCTTTTCACAAAATCTGAATTCTATTTTAATAATTGACTGTTTAGAATTAAAGTTTGGGTGGTCTGCTAAAAACATGGCTTTTAGAATTATTTTGTAGAAATATATTGACCTGTGGGTTTTAATATAAAACAGTGAAGTTCCTTCCTAAACTTGTTTGTACATGTAGAGGCTGGGAACTTTTTTAAGCCTTTTAACCTCTTAATATAAATTAGGTCCTTAATTTATATGTCTTCTTTTGCCTAAGGAGGCTCTGACATGCTGAGTGTAGATGAATAGCGTAATAGATATTTTACATGACTATTTATACAACTGTGAGTGAATTTATAGATTTAATTTTGCTGGCTTAAATGCATGGATGAAACCATCACTTTTCCCTTTTAGTCATAACAGCACTAAGTGAGGTAGAGCTTGTTGGCTCCCCATGCTGGAGAGAGAGGACATGGAAAAAACAGTGATCTAGAGAAGGAGTGTCTCACCCTGAGTAGGCAGGGAAGGGTAAGCAGCCTAATGTGGGTGTTGGAGACCAAGCCAGGCACGTAGAACATCCATGTGGAGGCATGTCCTGTGTGGAGAACAAGAGGACAAGCAGGATAAAGAGGGTGTCCATGCTGTGGGAGCAGATTGTTACAGGGCATCAAATCTAAATAGAATGAGAGAATGTCTACACAGAGGGGAGAATAATGTGGTATGGCAGAATCTGAGTAGGTGAGGAAAGTGTCCCTATGGGGTGGGCTCAGCAAATGTGATGTCACAGTTTGATCTGGAGGAGGGAAGTATCATTATAGAAGGTATGTAGTTTGGTCTATAGAGGTTACCACAGCAAGGAAAGTCACAAATATAGAAGTGGATAAAATTAAAATGAACGTTGGAGTGTTGGAGTGGAATTGGAGGTTTGGTGTATTATTGGCTTTCACTGACAAGTAATTAATACAGAAGTAAGTATGTGTCTTTGTCTACATGCAATTATATTTTCTATGAACATTGAGAGGACCTCTAAGCAGTCATAACCTAATAGTAATGTATAGCTGGTGTGCACAGTTTTTGACTTCAAAATACTATTCTCAAAAAAAAAAAAAATACTATTCTCAATTAAATGAAGAAATAATCTTAGATTTAGCATAGAGAAAGTATAAGATGAACCTTAAAGTATTTTGAATTAGAAAACGAGGGATTGTTTCTACAATAGTAAAGACATTATTAAAATACCTGCACAGAGAAACCAATTTGAAGAAATTGCCACTTGCAAATCTGGGACAACTTGAACATCAAGCATTAGTACCAATGCTATTGGATAAAATAGGAAAACATACATCTATGCAGGTAACAGTTGATCAGTTTAGAATCCGGTGCATAATTTGTTTCATTTATACTGTTAGTTTCTTTTAGTTCATTAAAAAAAAAAAAAGCTTTATACTATTTGTTTTTGCAAATATCTTTTGTGTAACATTGTACTTTGAAAATAATAACAGTATCATCACTGTTCTCATTATTTTGTTATGAATTTTTTTCATTTAAAAAAGTCAAATGAAGAGCAGGACCTAACATAGTTATAAATTAAGATCCTCCAAAATACATGTTAATAGCAAAGGAGGAAAGGATAACTATCTGGTGGAAAAACCTGGCAAATGCTACTTTATAATTATGTGATCAAAGTTAACACCCTCAATAACCAGACAAATCAACATCATGTGCCCCTAATAAGTGGAGTGAGAACACAGCATCAGTTCTACGAATCTTCCTGCCAAAGATACATAAGCTGTACATTAAAAAAAATTAAGAGATGCATAAACTGTATAATCTCAAGGAAAACCAGACAAACAGGAACTAGAGACATTCTATAAGGACCTGTTCTGTAATTCAAAAGGGATCAGGTTAGAAAAAGAAAGGAAAACTTGAGAAACTGTCCTAAACTGAAATAAAGGCACTTTACAATTAAGTGCAGTCCATAGTTCAGAATGGATCCTTTTGGTTGGATATGATCAATAAAAGTTGAATGCAATTTGGAGATTAGATAGTATTAATATATTAAAGTTAACTTCCATTTACATTGTAATCATGTAGGAGGTTGTCCTTGTTTGTATTAAGTACATATTAAAATATTCAGGGGTGATGGGGTGATCAGGTCAGCTGCTTACTCTGAGTGAGAAAATAGTTACTTGTGCTATACTCAAAACTTTATATGTGTATCCTGTTCTTGACTGTAGGCCAATGACAGTGAAAAAAGGAAGAAAGCAAAACCTTATCATATACTATCTCAATTGATAGTTGTAAAGTTAAAGAAGTCTACCATTTTCAAATGTATGTAACTGAAAGAAAATAGAAGGGGCCCGGGAGATGGCTAAGGGCCGGGGAGATGGCTCAGTAGAATGAGCGCTTGCCTGGCAAGCGCAAAGGTCTGAGTTCAAATCCCTGGTTCCGGGAAGAAAAAAAAAATGGGCCCGGGGAGATGGCTCAGTAGGATAAGCGCTTCCCTAGCAAGCGCAAGGGTCTGAGATCAATCCCCGGTTCCACCAAAAAAAAAAAGAAAATAGAGATTATTTTTGGCAGAGCAGCAAAAATATAACACATCCCTTAATATTCAGAAATTGCCTCATGTTGTATGTTATGGGTCGGTGCGGTAGAGGTCTCACTGAGATTAGTCTTTCTCCAAGTGAGCCCAGAGCCTCAGAAGCATCTCACATTTATTGAGGGGTAAAGGCAGGCTAAGGAATGTGCATAATTACCTAAGTAAATACAAACTATTATCATTATTAACTTCAACCATTTGCCTAACACTAGGTTTACACAAATGCTAGCCGATAACATCTCAAGCAAGGGATCAAAGGACTGGGCGCCTGTAGGAGAAGCTGTTATCCGCTGCCTTGGGTCCCAGCTTTCTGGGAATTTGTAAACAGATGGCAACCCTCCTCGGGCTCAGTCCAGTGTTCTTTGCTCTCTTGGGACATTAGGCTTTTGTCTCAAATCTATATCTCTACAGTCTCAAGTCTAAGTCTGACATGAAAATGTCCTTTACTGTTAAGTACCAAGTGTGTCTTATAAAAATGAAACATGATTCTCAGTATGTACAGTGGTGAAAAACACTATTTTGAGAATCAGGAGTACTTTAATACAACTATCATAAATATGACTAGTCATTTATTCTTTCAGTGTTTCCTGATCTGTGTTTTTGAAAGTACTATGAGGAGAGATAACTATAATTACTTATCTCACTGGTATTCAGAGTAGGGTGGTATAAAAAATCCTACAAAATATTACAACGATTTATATTTGACTAGTATTATTCAAATTTATAGATTAGTTTGGTTTTATTTCATGACATAGAAACACTCAGTTTTTAACATTTAAAAATTTTATTTATGTATTTATTTGGTACAGGTTCTCACTATGCAGCTCGGACTCTTAGTGATCATCCTGTCTCAGCCTTCCAAGAACTGGGATTATAGGCCTGTGCCACCGGGCTCGGTTTTGGTGGCTTCACAATGCACCTGGAGTCCTGCTGCACAGCAGACCAGCATGGCGTGCAGTACTGGGGATCAAACCTGGGTCCTTGTGCTTGCCAGGCAGGCACTTAGGCCGCCGAGCTATCTCCCCAGCCCACTCAATTTTTCAGTGACTTATGAATAATAGTGGGAACAGGTTCACATCCTTGTTTAGGCTTGTACCTCTCCTTTTGGTTTAGGACATTTGAGCAATTATTGATGTAAAACATACTTTTTCTGGTGCTGATAGAGAATTAGTAAGTTAAAGAGCCGGCGAGATAGTTCAGCAGACTAAGCACCTGCTTAGACAAGACCAGGGACTGGGATTTGATCCCCAGCACCACAGGCCATGCTGGCCCCACCCTGGGCTTGCTGAGCTGGTGACTGAGACCTGAAGTGGTAGCGCATGCCTGTAATCCCAGAACTGAGAAGGCTGAAGACCGGAGGATCACTATGAGTGCAATCTGCATAGTGAGACCCTGTACCAAATACATTATTAAAAAAAAAAAAAAAAGAATTAATAAGTTAAAAGATGCCCAGAAATATAAACTCTGCCCTTTAGGGACAGTGAGATAGCTTAGCGGACCAAACACCTGCTTAGGCAAGCACAAGGACCAGGGTTCACTCCCCAGCACCACATGCCATGCTTGCCCCGCTCCTGGGGCTCATTGAGCCAGTGACCGAGTCCTCGGCGCAGTGATGCACACCTATAATTGCAGTGCTAGAGAGGCTGAAAACAGGAGGATCACTGTGAGTCCGAGCTGCGTAGTGAAACCCTGTACTAAAATCAATCAATCAATTAATCAATCAAACAAACTTTGCCCCTTGAAACCCTTATAAATGGCAAAAGAGGAATACATGTCATTACCTTTTTAGAACTTACTTCATTTTGCCATAGAAGTACTCATATAAATGATAGTTAACTTTAGTTCAAATGGGACAGAAGTAGTGTTATGCCATAGAAATAATTTTATATGTGTGGAATGATACTCAAACCCCTTTTGAGAACATGCAGAAATCAAATTTTATACTATGCATATATAATACAGTAAATATACCCTTGAACAGTATACTTTGTTTATTTTTGATAAATATATTTCCATGTGACTGTGACTCTACAATATAAAACATTTTTATCATTTCAGAATGGGCTTTATTTTGAGGCAAGATGTATTTTCTACATTTTAAACAATATTTACAGATGGGTATTTGGAACCCTGCCTTTTATAGGTTGAACTTTGCCTATTTAGTCTGAGAAAGGCATAATATCCTAGCTTTTGACAAATTTTTCATTGCAGTGTCGTACCAAGAACTTATTTTTCAATATTTTAGTCCTGATTTTAAGTTTACCTTATTTGGTGCTTATAAAATTAAATATTGGCAATAAATAGGTATGTCCTTTTTTTGCCCAATAAATAGGTATGCCCTTTTTACACCCAGATAAATCTTTACAGT